AGCAGCTGGAGGCGGTGTTATGGGCGGAATTGGTTTGAGTTTAAAACATTTGCGCACGTGTGGATGGAAGCGAGCTGCGCGATTTGTTGTTGAAGAGCTGAATGATGGGACATTTTTTAGTGGGTCATGCACTTTTGCATGTTGTCATGGGGGCTAAGCTGGACCCTTTTCCCAATTGGGCTTGTTCGGTAACCTGATCTTCAAACCGTCCCTTTTAGGGATGTCTACCTGACCATCGCTGCAGCCTTCGGTGTGTCAGCTGCCCTGGAGGGCACGGGCGTTGCTGCTAAGTTCGCGAATGCCATTATCGCAATCGGCAAGGACGCGGGCGGTACAGGAGCTGCGCTCATCGCTATTTATATTGCGACAGCCCTGCTCTCAGAGCTGCTCACCAACAATGCAGCTGGTGCGATTATGTACCCCATCGCGGCTATTGCTGGTGACGCGTTGAAGATTTCTCCCCGGGACACTTCCATCGCCATCATGCTGGGCGCGTCTGCGGGCTTCGTTAACCCTTTCAGGTAAAATATATCAGATAGAAAAACTTTGTTGCAAATTTAACCTGCCAGTATTGTGCATTTTTTCCAACGGATACGTGCTTAACGAAATGAAAGGACAACGTAACGGAAACGGAACGGAACGAACTTGCTTCAAAACTTAAAAAAAACAAGGTGCTTTCTTAAACAATCTTCTGGATTCTTTATTACAAAAGCCCAGGCGTATGAACAGAGTTGGAGGGGTAAGGTTTTTATCTCTCTTTGCTGCACCATTCGACATGCGACATGCACGCCAGAGGGGTGCAGAGCGGTGGCCCATCCTCGCATTCCTGGAGGGGTGTCGGGCACACATCTTGTCTGTTGATGCATCCTACACCACCACCACCATTTTCGTATCCTTGAACCAGACATTCTCGCATCCTGGTGACTGCATCCCCCCGCCTTGCCATCCTCATCCTTGGTGGTTTAGCGTCAAATTTGCCCTGGCCCTCTGCCATCTTTATCCTCGGGGCCCGGTCCACATTTCTGTCCTACTCTTTCCCATCCGTATCCTGTGCCCGATCCGAACCTCCGCAACATCCCTGACTGCTCTGCAATCTGCTCCGCACGCTCGCCTTTGCTAGTACGTTTGCATCCTTTCCTGTCAGGGCGATCCGTTCTTCGTCCTGTTCGCACGCATCACGCGATCAGGCCGGTATCCTTATCCCTCCCCCCTCTGCCTGCGTGCGTCCAAATCGGCGTGCGTCCAAATCCACTCCCCCGCGCGCGCTCTCGTCAAGCGCTCTTGACCTATTATCCTCTTTTGACCGCCTCTTCCGTCCCTCTCCTCCTCCCCCTTGCCCTCTTTCCCTCCCTCCCTCCCTCGGTGCACAGCTACCAGTGCAATCTGATGGTCTACGCAGCGGGCAACTACAGCGTCAGGGAGTTCGCCATCATTGGAGCGCCGTTCCAGGTGAGGAACGACAACAACAACCGCGAGGCAGCAGAGTCCTTGATCAGTATGACAAGACTGTGTGTGATTCCGCAGGCACGCCAAAAAAATAGTCGGCATCTCTTTCCACACATGTGCTCTTTGTTGTGCTCACTTGTGCTTCAGCAATATTTTTACTCAGCAATATCTAATTTGTGTAGTTTTCCTTTTCCTCCCTTTCTACATTATTCTATTAAAAAGATATATATATATATATATATATATATATATATTGCACCATGCAGGTCTACCTGATGATTGTGGCGGGCTTCATCCTGGTCTATCGGCATCAATGGCACCAAGTTTGGATCGTCTCCTGGATCTGCACCGCCGCTTTTGTAGTCCTGCCAGCGTTGTACCTGCTGCTTCCAAGTCGCATTTTGTTGCGCTTCGAAGCGGCCTTCGAGCGGATTGGGGACGCGCTCAACGTCAAGAAGGCGATCGCGCGCCGTCGCATTCAAAACCAGCGGCATCTGGCTAGCAACAGCTCCAGCAGCAGCTTGGGCAGCCCTAACGGCCGGGCGCTAAGCCTGCCAAAAGTAGCGCCCAATAACACCCAAGGGTAATAATCCTTTTGCGAATTTCCGGTTCGCGAAATGCCTAAGTTGATGTTTGAAACATCAATCATGTTCCCAGCTCTAGCTTTGTATTGGGGACGCAGAACTTAGGAATTAAGGTTAAATGCAATGTGATGCTGTATGCTGGTGTTAATTGTCTTAATCTAACCTGCCGGCGATGATTAGGTGGCGGCTGCCATACGGGAGAGGGAGTGCGCGTCCCCTCATCCTAGGGGATTACACGTGACGGGTCGGGCCGAGGGACATGAGGGGCGGGGAACCACCGCAGACTGAGCGTGGCTAGCTTCAAACTGTGAGAGGAGACCCTTCCCTTGTCTTGTCTTGTCTTGTCTTGAGCGAGGGTGTGATTCACAAGGGCGCGTCTCGCGCCTGGAAATTTGACTGCATATGTGTCTGATATGGCGGGGTGCATGCTCTCGCTCAGAGCCAACCTAAGGGATTCAAGTTTAGGCATGCATGATGAGGAGGGATGTGTGGTTCGGGAGATTTGGTGTTTTTGTTCCGCATCGTTTGTGTGCGGCATGCACGACAGAGCGGCTGCTGGCTGGGTGTGTGTGTGTTTCCTGACTGGCTGGAGAGATGAGATGGTGGAGGGGAGGGTGCTTAGTGGGGGAGGTGCAGTAACGTGATTGAATTAAAGCGACAGTATTGCATAACAATACCAAGCCGGGACAGAGAGCACCAGTAGGGCCGATTGTGTCGTGGTTCTGTGGTGCGGTCCTGTAACTCCATGTACGAATGAAGGTGTTAATAATTTTTTTCATGAGGGAAGGTTTTAAGGTACCTAAGGCTGAAGAAATTTTGCGGGTTGCGCTTTCGGGTTGCGTCTCATGCGCGGTAAGCCGTACGTTGGTTTTTGGTACTGTTGCACGTTGTTGGCAGGCGGTTGTTCGTAAGTAGATCGGTTAGTGAAACTAGTGATTTTTTATGGAATGTTTTCTTACAGGCTAGCTGGTTAATGATTAGCGATTGTGGACCGCTTTTTCGCATGGACCGCTGACAGTTATGTCGCACATTCAGCAGTTGGCCTTTACTGAATAGTTTCTGGAATTTATGTTGTCTGTGTATACAGGCAATATTTATGTATTGGTTGTCGTGTGCAAATTGTTGCACAGGCTGCGACTGGCGTATTTCGGGGCGTGTATGAGGATTTCTCTGAGGCCATGAAGGCCGGAGTCTGACTACGTTGTAGGGGCTATAAAGATTGCGCGTGCACTCCGTTTGGATGGCAATCTTTATTCCGGTCAAAGTAATCTTCCCCAATTGATGCATTAGAACCGCTGTGCAAGGATTAACCGACGACTGCTGGTATAGCGGAAGGCAAAAATGGTGGGATGGCCGGGCATCATTACTGTTATCAGCGTCGCAATCAGCTTCATTGTTATGGCTCTTGATTGGGTGAGTGCTTCTGGCCGGTCGTGTCTGCAGTGTCTGCTGGCGCGTAAAGCCTGCCGGAGAAGAGCGCGATTAACCTTCGTCGTTCAAAGTTGTAAAATGAATTGTATCGATTAAGTTTTGCTCGCTGGTTCTCTTGTGCGCATGTGCTGGGCGGACTCGCTGTTGCATGGCACAGCGATGCCCTTGACTTTCGCTAGCCACATCTGTAACCGTATAATCCCAAGCATCCTAGAAAAGAATGCATTTCTTAACCAGGATCATTAATCTGCAGGTGGGCCCGGATGTAACATTTACGATTCTGCTAGCCTGGCTGACGGCTTTCGATGGAAAGATCATAAAACTGAAAGACGCGGCTGCTGGTTATGGCAACACCGGTCTTCTCACTGTCATCTTCTTATACATGGTGGCGGAAGGCGTCACGCAGACAGGAGGTGTGCGCATCCACCGAATAGGTTTTTCGCGGACTTCTGATTTTGCCTGTTATCGCTTTGTGTAAAGCTTTACCATGTCAGAGCTAGTAGTCATCGGGTTGGGGAGCTAAGCGGGGTGCAAGCGGCCAGAAGACTGAAAATCGTTCAATAATTGCTACAATACACTAATTCACAAGTGCTAATCCGTGTTACTGCTGCACGCTTCACCGCACGTCAGTAGTGTCAGTGAACATAACAACACCGGCATCAAATCCTGGGGGCGAAGGCATGTCCTCCGATTCTAATAAGGCACGGGAAACAGCAAACAGGAAAGAGCTAAGGGCGATCGAAGCTTAACGATAAAATCAGTCCAGTGGGTTCGATCTTGTGCAGAACGAGTCTGATCTGATTGCTGTTTTCTTTTTCTGTTTTATATGTGCTTCCTTCCGAAGCTGTCTTTGCGGTGTGATTGTGGCCCAATGGTTTCAGAAATCTTCCTCCCCAAATTCCATTCACCACGCAGGTCTTGAGCTGATCATGAACTACGTCCTAGGTCGCTCCCGCTCCGTGCACTGGGCCCTGGTTCGCTCCATGTTCCCGGTCATGTTCTTATCCGCATTCCTGAACAACACTCCTTGCGTTACTTTTATGATTCCAAGTAAGTGCTAAAAGCGAAACTCTAAACTGGCACACTTCCAGATGATATTATCGTTCAACCAAGTATTTGTACGGCATTTGTGTGCGCTTTGGCTTTTGCCCTTTGATTTGAACACACAAGTTCAAACAGGACAGACGTCGGAGGGGGGAAGGGTTAGCTGAATGGAACATCTAACCCTAAGTGACGACTTGTGCTAAAAAAAATATGGCTCGGATTCGACTGGATGAGCGAAAATGTTGAGTTTTTTAAATTTCGCCGATGCTTCGTTGACTTCTTGCTGAATTTCTCGAGTTGAGTTATTTGCAAATAGCATTCCACTAAAACTTTGCATGCATATTGTTGTGTAATCTTGTCATGTTTGGAACTCGTGTTCACTTTCCCGCTTCATAGATTCAAATTGTTGAATTATGGCCAAAATATATCACCTAACCTCACGCGCACGCACAACCCCCAAACAAAAAACGCAGTTTTGCTGTCGTGGTCTCGGCGTTGTGGCGTGCCACCCAAGAAACTGCTCATCCCCTTGTCGTACGCTGCCGTACTTGGCGGTACCTGTACGTCCATTGGCACATCGACCAACCTGGTGATCGTCGGAATGCAGGTGCGTGGGCGCGCGTGTGTGTGTGTATGTGGAGGGGGGAAGGGGGGTTCAGGGTGTTTTGAATCCGATTTCGCCACGGCACGTGCCGGAACATGGCTTGTCGACTGAAAGGGGGAGTGGGTGAGAATCACACGGTGCAAAAGGTAAAGGGCCATCGTACAGATAGGAAGCCTTTTATTTCCGTTCCCTCTCCACCTCCTCTTACCCCCCTTTTTTTTCTCCCACTCTCTTTCGGGTGCGTGCCAGTGTGTTTTCCTGTGGTAACCCGAGCCCCCTCCCTCCCCCTCCCCCCTCCCTCCCAATCCTCAGGACAAGCGTTATGCTAAAAAGGATGCTGCGGAGGCCAGATTTGGCATGTTTGACATCGCAGCGTACGGCGTGCCGTACGCGCTATGGGGGGCCTTGTTCATCATCGTGACACAGGTACGGCGGTGTACGGCATGGGTTGTACAGAATGAGACGGGGTGTACGAAGTTGCAGAGGTTTTGATGGTGGGGAAGGTTAGGGAAGACGGCTGCTTGTACGAGCTGGGCTGTACGGCATGTGTTTATTTTCACTGGGAAGGAAAGTAGCTGTCGGCTGGCTCCTCTCTGTCCTCTCGTCGACGGAACTTCCTTTCTTTCCCCTCCCCCCTTCTCTCCCCCTTTCTCTCCCCCCTTCTCTCCCCCCTTCTCTCCCCCTTTGCGCAACACATGTTTTCCCCCCTTTCCCCGTTCCGACTTCCCACATAAAACCCGCTCTGCCGTACTCTCAGCGTTTCCTGCTCCCCGGCAACAGCTCCCGGTACGCTAAGGACCTGCTGCTGGCGCTGCGGGTGCTGCCCAGCTCACCTCTTGTACGGAAGAAGTTGCGGGATTCCCCCGGGTTTCGGAACCAAACCGGATTTAGCATTTCGGCTGTGTGGCGGGATTTTAACGGAAAGAGCCTCATTCGGTGAGTGAGTCAACCCTCTGCGATTGGAACCTGGCCGTCTGGTTTTTGTTTTGTTTTGCGCTCTCTGAAATTCTTTTTTGGACATTATTGACAACCTGCGCTCACTCAACCTGCGCTCACTCATTACCTTTCCTCCGTCGTGCCTGAAAACCCAAATCCGTACAGATCTATAAATCCGGATCTGGTTTTGGAGGCGGGTGACGTGTTGTACGTCGCTGGGGAGTTGGACGTCGTCGAGTACATGGCGGAGGAGTTCGGACTGGGACTGGTGACGCAGGTGTGCGACATACATACATACATGTGTGTGTGTCTTTGAAAGTTTGTATGTATGTATGTGTGAAACAGGGGGGTATATCTTCACCCGTGGCAGCTACCCGGCGAAACCCTGCCTTCCCCGCGGGTATTTCGGGGCACCCTCGTCCAGTCACCCTGGTCAACTTCTCAGTGGATTGCTCAGGTTCCACACCCACCACCACGCGAAAATCGGTGAAATACTGTCTTCTTACTGTTCAGCTGTTTTTGCTCTCCTTGGCGATATTCATGTTCATTCTGCGGATAATGCTACTGTTGATAATGCTGCTGTTTTTCTTCATTATTTTCCATTTTTAATGTTCCTGCTGCTTCCGTACTGTTACTCTGCTTTAGGAAATGGAGCGCGCACTGGAAGCTGACTCAATGTACGGCCAACACCGAGAAGATTCTGAGGCAACGGCTTTCCATCAGACCGGGGCATCGCCGTACAAGAAGCTAATCCAGGTACGGCAAAACACGTCAGGGCCGTACATCGCGGCATAAGTGTACGATGGGTGACTTTTGCTGTGTTGCAATGTAAAGGAACACTCGAAGCGCGACGCACGCACACAACCGCTCACACCATACACATACATACATACATACATACACACCCACACGCCGCAGGTGACTCTACGTGATACTTCCGATTTGGTTGGCCGTGTGGTGGGGGAGGTCACCTGGCAGGGCCGCTTCGGCCTCATTCCCATTGCCATCCAGCGCAGCAGCGGACGAGAGGATAGCCGACTGAGCGATGTCGTACTTGGAACTGGTGATGTGCTCGTCCTGGACACAAGTGAGTGCGTAATGGCGACGTCAGCATAGCAGTTGAAAATTTGAAAAGAGCAGTCAGTGACCGTTGGGCGTTTTTATTGTTTGGTCGTTTTTCGTTTGTTTATTCTGCTTGGCAAATCACCCGAATCCATCCTCATTGCAATATCGTACTACTGTTCCGTACTCGTTGACATTCACCATCGTACATTCCGTCCCGCTCTGATTCCCCTGCTTTGCCAGGGGTATCGATTTCCCGTTGTGGGCCCTTCCCCCCGGGACCTTTCCTCGAACCCTCGTGTGTTTCATTCATTTCGTACAAAGCCCCAGAACCAACCTCCTACTGCTCTCCGAAACCACCCCGCACTCAATACCCTCCAGGCCCCCATTACGATGAGAACCGGGAGGACTTCAAAACTAATTTTCACAAGCTTCGCTACGTCAAGGATGGGGCTGCTAAGGAGTTTATAATCGGTGTGAAGGTACAGGGGAAATCGGGAAATCGGGGCGAGGTTAAAGTTAAGGGTTGTCGTATGTGTGAGGGCGGGATCTGGGGACTTAAGGGTTGTCGAAGGTGTGAGGGTGAGGATGGTACCAGCGAAGAGCATGGTATGTGTAAACCAGGTTAACCAGAGTCTTCTAAACAAGCCCCCCAAGCACGCGAATTGTTTTTTGTGAATTTTGGGGTTTCGTGAATTTTCATGGGATTTGAGATTTTTGGGGGGTGTTTGCCTTTGTGAGAGTGAGCCTGCATTAGCCTCATGACGAATTGCACAGGGTTTTGAGCAAGGCGTTGTGGCTCACTATTTTATTCCCCACCCAACCCCCGGATACACCTCCTGGTTCACACGCAAACGCACGCATCGCCACGGCAGGTCAAGAAGAGTAGCGAGGTGGTTGGCAAGACAGTGTCGGCTGCCGGTCTCCGCGGCATTCCCGGTCTGTACGTCTTGTCCGTCGACCGTGCGGATGGAAGCAGCGTGGAGGCCAACGATTACCTGTACAAGATCCAGCCGGTACGGATGTGTACGGACGTGTACGGATGTGTACGGACAAAGGAATGCAGACGCCAAGGCACTCGGGTTTTTTCCCGCCCTACTTTCTGCACCTTTCCACTCCTTTTCAAAATATCTGTTCCGCTACATTTCTGCCACGAAATCTCTTGCGAAACGGCCACCTTCCAAATATTCACCGCCGAAATGGCCACCTCCTACCCCCCCACACATCGCGCCCCGAAATGGCCACCTCCTACCCCCCCCGCATCGGCGCCCCTCGCATCGCGCCCTGCAAAAACCCTACTGCTCCCACCCTAGCTCACACACCTCGCGTCTCCGAAAAAACCTGCAACATCTTGAACAACGGCAATGACAAGAACCCTCGCTTGCTCTCTCACCCCCTACCATATCACCCTCTAACGCCCCCCAATCTCCCCCCGCTCATTTTTCACCAAACGATTTCAGGACGACATTATTTGGATTGCTGCCGAGGTGGCTGCCGTTGGCTTTTTGTCCAAGTTCCCTGGCCTGGAGCTCGTACAGCAGGAGCAGGTGGACAAGACGGGGACCTCCATCCTGTACAGGCATCTCGTGCAGGCAGCCGTGTCGCACAAGGGACCGCTGGTGGGAAATACCGTACGCGACATGCGCTTCCGCTCGGCATACAATGCTGCAGTCGTTGCCGTACACAGGTATGTACGGCGTTCATACGTCAGCCTCGACAAGTGTTGTCGTAATTCTGGACCTTCCTCTTATCCACCATCCAAATCCTGAACTGTTGCATTTCCCCTCCCCCTCGCACCCCCGCACCACCTCCTCTCCCCCAATGTGTACGACGTGCAGGGAGGGTGTGCGTGTTCCCCTCAAGGTCCAGGACATTGTGCTCCAGGGAGGAGATGTACTGCTGCTCAGCTGCTCGACTAGGTGGACTGAGGAGCACAAACACGACAAGGCGTTCGTACTGCTGCAGGTGTGCAAGACGAGGGGGATTTGGCTGGGCAACAAGTGACCCCCTTGGTCCTCTCACGTATTGTTTGCTCGCCATGTCTTTCTAATCTTGCCACCTTGTCCCTATCGCCAAATCGTTTATTCCCCTGCTTTTTTTGGTTCGCAGGCTGTTCCCGACAGCTCTCCGCCCAAGCGCCGCTCCATGATCATCGGCGTGCTGCTTTTGCTCGGCATGGTTCTGACCCAGATTGTGGGAGGTCTTATGGACCGCGAGTTAATTCACCTCTGGCCCGTTGCCGTGCTCACTGCCGCGCTCATGCTCATCACGGGATGCATGAACGCAGACCAAGCGAGAAAGTCCATCATGTGGTAAGCTGCGTTGATCTACGCATCTATAGCCTAGGGAGATGTATCCTTGTTGTTGTTGTTGTTGTTGTTGTTGTTGATGGGGTGTTACACTGTGGGCGGCTCGCCCGATAAAGGACGAGCACCGGGGGCCCTGACCGGGCCGAAACACAGCGCAGGGATGGGCGCGCGGCTCTACGTCCGTCTGTTCCTCCGCGCGCACCTCGATCCCTCACTCACGCCAACCGGGACACTCTCCCAGCCCCTGGCTAGGCAACACAGCGGCGCAGAAGACTGCGAACCGATCTATGCAAGAACCGCACGAAAGGCGCCACTTCGCCTGGCCTGCCTATTCACGCGCTCTCGTCCCTCTTGACCGCCAAAACAAGAACAAAAAGAAAACACCACCGGGGACAGGGGCTCTACTCGGGGGCCTCCTCTACACACTCAAAGACCAGGGCCCCACGCAGCCAGCAAGGCAAGAGATACACGGAGGACCACGGGCCTGAGACGACACACCACAAAATCCGAATACGGATGCACAGAGAAGACCAACACAAAGCGAGTACTCGCACACTGGTCCTCGAAGGCCAGCTGTTCAACTACCACGAGCAACGAGCAACGAACACTTCCCGAGGGTGGCCACCACTACCTCGCCGGTCCACTCACAAACGAGGCGAAACTGGTCCGCACGTCAGTCTCCTCCTGGGGGTTGCGGGCTCTCGGATGCAGCCCAGCGCGAGACACAGCAAAAACACCTATAGCCACGGGGGGGATGACAAGCCAGCACGGCGCCCCCCTATAAAGCCCGGAAAAGGCACGGCTCACAGACGCCGCCTGCTCCCGCTTACCACACCGAAATCCCTCCCCTCCTGACCCTGACCAGCCGGGACCAGCAACACCTGTTCTCCACCTCCAAACCCCTCTCCTCCACCGCTTTCCCACCTCCTCTCCACTCCCACAAGCCACCTACGTCTTCTCTACTCTGATGCCAGACAGCACAGAACCCATTCCCCTCACCCCGACGGGCCCCAATTCCCGGGGAGAGGGCAACCACACGAGTACACAAAACACACACAGCCCGGGTCCTCAACTCCCCCTGCTAGACCACGCTCAGGGTACTGCCCTCTCGCCCAGCCCTCCAACTGCCCAGGGCCTCCCTGCTCTCCTCGCTCCCTCACCTATCCCTACTCCTGGCTCTCTCACCCCCTCCCTCACTCTCCCTGCTCCCTTTCCGGTAAGACCTCGATCCGACTCTATCTCGGCTATTTAGGCCGTGATTTCCACCAGTGCTGCGCACCGCATCCGTTCCTCCACGACCGCCAGGATGGGGTGCTGCGGCCCGACTCTGTCCCAGCCGTGTCTGGGGGTCTCCAGCATTGCGAACGAGCGCAAACGCGCCCAGAAGTCTGCCACCGCCCGGGCGCGTGCACGGGCCAGTGGCGAGGCTCCTGTTGCGCCCGCCGTTGCTGCTGCTGCCACCGCCTCGCCCCCTCCCGCCCCTGCTTCCTGCGTTGGCCCATCATCCACTGGGGTGTTTAGGGTGGGTCCTTCTTGCTGCATTGCACCTCCCGCCGGGGTGAAGAAATCTGTGATGGCCCGCTGGCGGGATCTCTGCTGCTGGGGCTGCCCCATCATCTGTCGCTGTTGCTGTCGCTGCTGCTGCTGCTGTCCCGCCGTTGCTGTCCCCCCCATCCGTCCCTGTCGCCGGGTTGCTGCTCGGAGGCAGCACCTGCCGACTTCCATGGCGGATAGCGCCGCTAGGGCGATCACATCCCAAGGGCCCTGCTCACACCCGGGTGGCGCTTGGGCAAGCCAGAGCTGCTGCCGGGTGGTGGTGGCCCCTACTGTTGTCTGAGTGTGTGGCAGGTGCCTGTCGATCTGCTCCCGTACGGCATGTGCGACTGGACATTCCCAGAAATGGTGCAGACGCGGTGGGCAGGGTCGGCCGGCGGCGCCCCCATAGGTCCCACACCCGCATGGCTCAGTGGGCACCCGGGCTAGGTGCGTGTTGCCAGGTAGGGGTACGCCATCCACGGCGAGACGCCACATGGTCTCCTTGTTCTCATTCTCCCAGCGCACCCCATGCCATAAACGTGCCAGGGTTGCCTGAAAGCGGCTAACCTCGGCAGAATTGTCAGGCTGGGCCTGGGCCTCGGGCGTGTTCAGGGCCTCATGCACGAAGTCGATCATCAGGCGTATTCGCCGCTCGTCCACATGCCCGTTCTGTAGCTGTGTCGCTAGACTGACCGTTAGGCGGCGGAGCGGCACAGCGTCCGTCGCCCCAGGGAGGCGCCACCCCAGGCGCCCGATGATCATAGCCATCACTTGTGCGCAGTCTGGCAGTGCCGCTGCTGGTGCTGGTGGCTGCTGCTGGGGCCCCTCCTCCTCCACTTGTTGTTGCTGTCGCAGCCTGATCTCCACCGCGTGTGCTGCCGCCAGCCAGGTCGGGCTGATGTCGCTGTGCAGGGCTCCAAGAGCTGCAAGGGCGGCATCCTTGTCCTGCAGCTGGGCGGGGTCTGTGGCTGGGTCGAGGTGCTCACGGGCCCACGAATGCCAGGCTGCTCCCTGGAGGGTGGTGGCTTGGCTAGTGTTTACCGCTTCCCACACCCGTACCAGGTCCCCCACCGTGCGCAGTTTCCTGCATGGTGTCAGTGCTGCGTGGTATGCTGGTCGACGGCTGGGGCCCTCGGTGCTTGCAGCATTGATCGCATTGGGCAGCAGTGGGTTGCCCCACAGCGCCGCCGCCCAGCACCAATCACCGGGTTCCAGAGGGGTTCTGCCAATGTCCTCCAAAGGCGGTAAGTGACCCAGTGCCCCCACGATCCGGCTGATGTCTGCGGGAAGGTCGCTGCTGCCGAGCCACGGTCCCGTGGCCCGGGCGGTTGTCAGAGCCCAAGGCTGGAGTGCAGGGTGGGTGAGCTCCAGGTAGGCGGACAGCGTGCGTACCCAGGGGTGTAGGCCCCGGGCCTCACTGTTGGTTGCCGCTGCCACCTCCTCGTCCCCGCCTGCTCCCCCAGTTACTTCCCCTCCCGCACCCCTACCTTCACAACCTGCCGCCGGTAGTGCCTGTGCAATGAATCGCACGGCCCAGACTGCGTGGCGAGCGTGGATGTGCTGTCGGAGCGGCAGCAGGCCGAAACCCCCGGTTGACGGATGGCCTACTAAAAGGCTGCCGGGTACACCTGTGAGACGCTGGCCTGGGTCTTCTGGGCCCTGTTGCCGGTCGACCAGGCGGGCCGTCAGCCGCTCGATGTGGTCCAGAGTGCTGTCTGGAGGGGGTCCGCCATGTTCCATGTGCCAG